AATGTTTCAGCTTCCTTTTTTTTCCTCCTGCATCTGCGGGGAGGGTGGGGAGGGAACCAGCAGGAGGAGCACTCCATGCTGTCAAACTACATAAGCCCTTGGGAATGGAGGACAGTCATGTGATGTCGCCTTAGAAACCCCAGGGTGGGGAAGAGTGTTCCAAGGACATTACTTAAATGTTTTTGATAGTCTTGAGATGTTGTCATTTTTGTGGCTCCGGGGTTGAGAAAAACTTAAGGTCTACTGATTGACGGAATCCACCTTAGTACACACACAGATTTAGCTACATATCACAAAGCTTGACCAGGAGAACTGCCCAACCTGTTCTGTTTTCCATCCTCTGACGAGGCAGCTGACGTCGCTGCTCACCTACCTGAGCGGGTTGTCTTGTCCCCATGTGTATCTGGGCATGCTGTCCACCTCATAGGCATCAGCAACTGAGGAGGCCTAGTCCTGACACGTGCATCTCCAGGATAGGCCACACATCCTGTGATTTTCCCTGGGGCCAGGGTCTGAGTCCAGCAGCCTAGTTGCAGTTGGAGGGGGGGCGTCCCCCAAGAAACTGGGTGATCTTAGACCTTATTCTTGTGTGCACTAGCCGCCGCAGGGTCAGATTCGGTCTATCTCCTGTACCAGCCAGTGCACATACCAGTGGATACAAGCTGGTCAGTTCCACCTCAACCCTGTAGCATGCGAGTTAACAGGTTAACGGTTGATTAGTATGGCTAGCCCAGCCAGGCATGCCCCGCAGCCCCAGCTTTTGCATATGCCAGCAGGTAGTGGGTTGTGCTGTTCAGTCCAGCCGAGGCCTCCCACATGGGCAGGTGCCTTGGCCTGACTCAGACAGGCCTCCAGTCCCCCCTGTAAACCACCACATCTCAGCTTTCTTGTCTACCTGTGAGTGCAATGGCCTGGTCCCTGGAAGATCCAGAAGTCATTCCTTTCCTGTCAGATGTTCCCTGCTCACACTCCAACATGTCCCCAGACCCCCTTCCCCAGGCAATCTGCAGCCCCGCTCTTGGGGGCCAAGGTGGTGTGTCCTAGCCTGGTATTTCCCACCTTTGCAACTATGCAACTATGTTGGTACACTGATATAGTTAACACAAATTGGCATTGCCAGCTACTGGGTATTTTGTCCCAGCAATGTAACACTTGTCTAGGTACAAGGCAACACACGCAGATACCTACAGCTGGGGAGAAGTTTAAATCATAGAGACTCCCTCCTGGCCCCCACTTCTTTTTCCAGGAGCCAGAGGTTACAGGATCAGTAAAAGCCGGTCAAAAGGAGCAGGAAGAGGAGGAAGGGAGGGCAATTTGGATTTCTAGGCCGAAAGAAGAAGGGTCAGATGTGTTAAAGAACAGCCGTAGACCAGATAGGGAGAAGTACAGGGAAGGAACTCTGGCTCAAAGATGAAAATGGCACAAAACTGAGAAAGTCTGTCCAGTTCTGCCTGTTCCATTGTCCGTGCGACCTCTTCCCACACATGCTTAGTTTCTCTAATACAAATACAGGAAAGCAGAGAACGGAGAAAGGCAGTCACTGGTGACAGATGTGAGGTGCAGGGGGGTTGGAAATTGGCACTTCTAAGGAATAAAGTAAGAAAGGGAGGGGTCTTAGTGTAGACTTGAAGAGTCGGCTTCTGGTCTTCCTTTGTACCCTGCAATACTCCTGGGATTGTCGGCCACATTTTGAGATTTGTGTTTGTATCTTATTTATCTGAGAGAATGAGGAGAGGTCGTCTTGCATCTACTGGTTCACTTCCCAAATGTCTGCAACAGCCAGGATGGAACGAGGCTGAAGCTTCTTTCTGTGGATGTGGGGATCGAGCACTTGGACTCTCCTCCGCGGCCTGCTCAGGTGAATTCTCAAGGAGTGGGGTCAGCAGGGGAGTAGCCGGGTCTTGAACTGATGCTGGCACCCAAGGTGGTGCCTTTCACCACTACACCACAGCACCATGTCAGCCACATTTCACAGGTGCTAGGCCCTAACTCCCAAAACATACACAGATTGCCTGGTAGCACAGATCATAAGTGGCAGTGCCAGGATTGGCTGGTGAGGAGGCAGGGAAAGAGGAGCCTCTCGTAGGAAGTACCAGGGGAGAAGGGCAGCAGAACCAAAGATCCTGAAGACGCCGGGTAAGACAAAGGAAGGAGACCATCACACCCAGATTGCGTGGATGGAAGGCTGGAGGCAGACTTACTTGGAGGGGGAGTAGCAGCAGGATGACGCAGAGGCAGGAGAGAGGGGGCAGAACTGAGAAGTCTGCGGGAGTCACGGTGGGAAGTGAGAACCATAAACGTACCGCGGTGTGCAGCCAGGTGGCCACAGTGCCAAGCCCTCTGCGGAGTGGGCAGCCCAGGGAACAACTTGAGCTTTCCAGACTGTTCTCCCCCTCCCCCTAACAACAAAAATCCCTCCACAGCTCGACTTGGTCATGAGCCCAGGTAACTGATAGGCTGCTCTGGCGGCCAGGGCTGGAATTGGCACTGCGGTCTGTTCTAATTCTAGATCCCAGGTGGAGACAAGAACAGCATGGAAAGAGGACACGGAGGAGTCGAGCGCCTGGGTGGAGAGGAAAGCGCAATCAGAACCCATGTGTCCCTTTGAGACGCTGCGCTCCCTTGGGCCAGCATTCATTCACCCGGCTAACACTTTTCTTTAAAATTTATTTTTTAAAATAATCAAGCAGGGAGCTGGATGTGAAGTGGGGTCGCCAGGATTAGAAGCAATGCCATTATGGGATCCCAGTGTGCAAGGTGAGGACTTTAGCTGCTAGGCTATTGTGCTGCCCCCTGCCAATTGTTTGAAAGGCAAAATTTCACACAGAGACGGGGAGACAAAGATCTATCCATTGGTTCACTCCCCCAAATGGCTGCAATAGCCAGAGCTGGGCTGATCTAAAGCTAGAAGCCAGGAGCTTCTTACAGGTCTCCTATGTGTGTGCAGAGTCACACGCATTTGGACCATACTTGACTGCTTTCCCAGGTGTCATTAGAAAGAAAGAATTGGAGCAACTGGGGCTGTAGTCAGCGCTGGCATCACAGGCAGGCTTTGAAGCACCTAGGTGTTTTCTGCTTTTGTGATTCTGCCTTACTTGCTTGGCTGGGGGCTGTGTGAACGCCAGGCCTGACAGTCTACATGGCACCCAGTACACCACCTGGCAGGTCACATAGGCAGAGTACTCCTCAGGAAGGAGGTACCTGGTGTTAGGTAAGACCCACTGCCCTATAGCTCATCAGTTTGGATCTTCCGAAAGTTGCTTGCTTCAAGCCCACCAATAGAAGCCTGCCAACTTTGCTCTTTTTGAAAGTTAACAGTTAAACTGACCAATCATGACTCTATAATTATTAGCCGGAAATGTATAAGAACCCTGTGCTGTTCAACCTCTCTTTCGTCCACCCTGCTGTTCCTGCTGCGGCTGCAGCTGCCCCTCCTCTGCCCAGCCCTGCTGGGGGGCGGGATGGCTGGGAGACCCAATTAACCTGAATAAACTGCCCTTTGTGCGTTAGCACCGACTTCAGACTTGATGATTTTCTGGGGATCTCAACACCCAACGCAACAGCTTAACCCACCACACCACAAGGCCAGCCACTGCAGAAAACACTGAACTTCTGTGCTATGCCAGGTTGGGGCTGAGTGCCAGGGCCATGGGAGACTGAACAGCAGTCCCACCCATGGCCATCAGTGGGAAAGAGCTCTGAGTTGGTGAGGGTTTTGAGAAGGCCAGGTGGTTATGCAACTTCTGAGAAAGCCCAGAAGGGAGGAGGCTGTGAGCGAAGTGCGAAGGCAGGCGGGCAGCAGAGGCAGTTTCTGTCACAAGGGGGGAACACTTTGCTGTGTCATCTGAACAACGAGGCTACTGGGTTAGGGCCTTCAGCTCAGCACACGAGCTCGGGGGTCACAGGAAACTTCCCAAGGAAGCCGTGCACACGTTTCCCGTAGCACAGCACCTGTTGCTTCAGGGCACTGGCCAGGGCACTCTGAGAACCCGTGGAAGCATCTCCTACCCCTCCCCCTTGCTGTACCAGCCATTTTAAGGGCTGAGTTATACAGAAAAAATGAGACACATCTTCCACGTGCTGCTTCACTTCTCAAATCCGGGCCAGCCAAAGCCAGGAGTCAGGAGCTTCCTCCAGATCTTCTACATGGATGCCCGGGCCTCGTGCACTTGGGCAATCTGCTGCTTTCCAAGGTCGGTTAGCAGGGAACTCAAACTGGAGCCCACTGGGATGCCAGCCTTGCAAGTGCCAGCCTAACCCATAGCACTACAATGCAGGTCTCTGTAAAACGGCGACCACAACGTTCTTTATTGAGCATTTTTGTGCAATGTGCCAAGAGCTTTTCCTATGGCTTTTCATTGATTAACACCTCAGCAAACCCAGGTGGCTATAAGGGGGATCACGTGAGGTCAGAGCCATGGCTGTGTGTGAGAGGGGCACATTTCCCAGGTCGGTGTTCCGCATCCAGGGTGCTGCCCGCCTGGGGAGAGTCGAGGGCCGGGATCCGAGTCCCTCCCTGGGCTGGGGGCCCCGACGGAACCCCGGCAAGTCGCCGTCAGCGCCCTCATCCGCCAGCGCTGGCTGAGACCCACCAAGCGACGCCCTTGGGACGCAGTAACTGTCCGTTTGTGTGGCGGAGCAAGAGCGGGGTCATTTTCTCCTCAGGATCGCGCTGTGGTGTGGGTGTGAGGCGACAACAATGGCGGCAAACACACAAGCTCCCATACTACGCAGTCATCTTAAAGGCAGGTTTCAATGTGCTCTTTTTATCCCCCTACGTGGAAAAAAATAAAGGCGAAAAATGGCTAAGTAACTTCTGAACAGCTCTACAAACGAATAGACATTAAGCTCCGCACTCAGAAAGCCCAGCCAGCCGCCGCCCTGCAGGGCTCAGGCCGCACCCGTCCCCCTCAGGCCCAACGGAAGAAGTCCCGCCCCTAAGGGCGGGAAGTCCCGCCTCCAGGCCTTGCCTCCGACTTCCGCTTCCGCCCGTGCTGACCCTGTGGGCTGACCCTCCGGGTGGCGCGTTCGGCATGGCCGGGGCTGGGGACTGTGGCGGGCCGGACAGCTACCGCTCGCCGCTCGCTTCCCGCTATGCCAGCCCGGAGATGTGCTTCGTGTTTAGTGACCGCTACAAGTTCCGCACCTGGCGGCAGCTCTGGCTGTGGCTGGCGGAGGCGGAGCAGGTAACGGATCCTCTGGTGGCCTGGCCCAGCGCACCTGCCGGGTCGGGCCGGGCGCCCGGTGTGGGCGGGAGGCCTGTCCACCTCGGGGACTTGCCGGCAGGGCCCCGCTGAGCGGCCGTCCCGTGGGGTGACTGCCCCCGGACACCCCGCTGTCAAGGCTGGGGGGCTTAAATCGCATCTCGGCCCCCGCATGGTCCTGTGCGGCCAGTGCGTGCCCCCTGCGCCCTCGGCTTCAGGGAAGGACCAGGTTCGTGGAGGCCAGTCATGGCAGTTTTATGGGATGGTTCTTTCTCAAGTACAGGATGCCAAAGGCACGCGGCTCCAGGCTGTCAAAACGAGCAGTGTGATTCTCCGAGTAGTCAAAATGAATGCTGAAAATTAACTGCAGGGCAAGAAGGAACTTTTTTTTTTTTAGACAGAAGGATGGGCGCCATGGCTTAGCAGGCTACTTCTCTGACTGCAGTGTAGCCAGCATCCCATATTGGCACCCATTCGAGTCCCAGCTGCTCCGCTTCCCATCCAGCTCCATTTGTTTCCTGGAAAAGCAGTCAAGGACGGCCCAAAGCCTTGGGACCCTGCACCCGTGTGGGAGACCTGGAAGAAGCACTTGGCTCCTGGCTTCCAATCAGCTCAGCTCCGGCTGTTGGGGCCACTTGGGGAGTGAACCAGCAGATGGAAGATCTTCTACTCTGTAAATCTGTCTCCGCTTGGGAATGCCTGGAGGCCTGGAGTCAGGTACTGCCCATCCTGCTAATGGAGCCTCTTGCTAATATGATGACCCAGGAGGCAGCAGCTATGCCCCACTCACATAGGAGACTGACCGGGTGATGTGTGGCTTTAGCCTGGCCTAGTCCCTGGGTTTTGACAGCATTTCATCAAGTTTAAGGGAATGTGGAGTGGGGGTAGCTTGCAAGAAGCTAGCAGTGCAGCTGCCCTGTTGCTGCTGCTTTGCAGTTGAGGCCTGAGGCTGAGGGTCTCCCGACCGAGAGGGTCCAGGGCGCTCTGCTGATCAGGTTGACGTTTCAAGGAATCCATTTATTTATTTTTTAAAAAATTATTAATTTGTAAGAAAGAAACGGATCTGCTGGTTCACTCTCTAAGTGCCTGCAGCAGCCAGGGCTGAACCACAAGGCCAGAACAGCCCTCAAGGCCTCACACATGGGCGACAGGGACCCAAGTGCTTTGAGCACTCCCAGGGTACAGGTAAGTAGGACGCCGGAACTGGGAGTGGGAGGTGAGATTCCAGTGCAGGCACTCGGGTGTAGGGTGTGGATGTGGCTGCCGCATATCTGGCAACAGTGGGACAGTCTGTCTCCTGTGGGACAGTGAGGTTCTTTTTTTTTTTTTATTTTTCCCAATGTTTATCTATTTTTATTGGAAAGTAAGATATACAGAGAGGAGGAGAGGCAGAGAGCAAGATCTTCTGTCCAGTGTCATTCCCCAGGTGGCTGGGACAGCTGGAGCTGAGCCACTGAAGCCCGGAGTCAGGAGCTTCTTCCAGATCGCCCATGTGCACACGGGGTCCCAAGGCTTTGGGCCGTCCTCAGCTGCTTTCCTAGGCCACAAGCAGGGAGCTGGATGGGAAGCAGGGCCTGGGACACGAACTGGTGCCCATATGCGATCGCAGCGCATACAAGGCGAGGACTTTCGCTGCTAGGCTACCGTGCCAGGCCTGGGACAGTTCTAAGCTGCAGGATCTTGCCCGGAGGCCCGCTTTGTGAGTTTTGAGTGCAGCAGGGCATGGTTTCGCCACAGTTCCCTGACTCTGAGCTGCCTGTGACCAACCAGCTGGTTTCTGCTGGAGGAGGGTGAGGCACTGGTGGGTTTCTCTCTCCTCAGTCCCTTCCATCATTCCTTTCAGTTGCATCATTTGTTGTACATATTTGTTGACAGAATTGTTCCTTTTGATTTCTCTGAGCAAATATCTCTACGTCTGGTGTACAACACGCCAGGCCCTAAGGAGTCAGCACTAGCTGCACTGACCATTGTAGGCAGGGAAGAGCTGGCCGAAGGGGGAGCATCAGACCCTGGGACGGGCGAGGCAGTGAGCCAGGTGTGGGGGTCAGAGGGAGGAGTCTGTTTCTGTCTGATGTCTTGCAGTTTACTCAGAGTAAGTAGTTTTTCCTTGTTCTCTTAGAAGCTTTCTCCCTGAACTGTGGACTTGGAGCTTGCTCCCTGCTTCCATTGGGGGATTGGGAGGCAGGGGGTATATGCTCACTTGAACGCGTGGTTCATGGTGTCACTTCAAATAACTGATGCCCAGGGATTGTTCTGGGTTTAATTTTCTTTCTCCTGTCCTATAGGCACTGGGTTTGCCCATCACAGATGAGCAGATCCAGGAGATGAAATCGAACCTGGACAACATCGACTTCAAGATGGCGGCCGAGGAAGAGAAGCGCTTACGCCATGACGTCATGGCTCACGTGCACACATTTGGCCACTGCTGTCCGAAAGCAGCTGGCATCATTCACCTGGGCGCCACCTCCTGTTACGTGGGCGACAATACGGTGGGCAGGCACTTAGGCTTGTGCGCGGGCACTGGCTCCTGTATCACACACTTAGCAGTTTGCTTTGTTTTTGTTCAGTTTTACAACAGAGCTCCATTAAGTTTTTTAAGATTTAGTTATTTTTTATTTCTTTAATTAGAAAGTCAGATATACAGAGAGGAGGAGAGACTGAGAGGAAGATCTTGCATCCGTTGATTCATTCCCTAAGTGGGCACAACTGTCAGAACTGAGCTGAGGCGAAGCCAGGAGCCTCTTTCTGGTCTCCCACACAGGTACAGGGTCCCAAGGCTTTGGGCTGTCCTCGACTGCTTTCCCAGGCCACAAGCAGAGAGCTGGATGGGAAGCAGGGTGGCAAGGACACAAACAGGCCTCTGTATGGGATCCTGGTGTGTTCAAGGCGAGGACTTTAGCCACTAGGCTACCGTGCCAGGCCCTCCATCAAGCTTTTTTTTCTCCATCAAATTCTAATACTTGGCATGTGGTTGCCAAAAGTTTTTTCTGTTTGAAATTTTTTTGCTGTGCAACTCTACACACTTAGTTACCCCCATCAAGTAAGGTCTCCATGCCCTGGGCATAAGCCGGGACCTTCCCACTGTGGTAGCCTGGGTAATATTCTAGAAAGCTTGTCTTTCCAAAATAGGTGATTTTTGTTTGAGAAGGAATTACATTGTTGTTGATGAGGGGAAGTGAGCAAACCTGTCTTAGCATGCCAACATGGAGAAGCAACATTTAAACACTTCCCTGAGGTGACTAGGTGGTAGGCAACTTCCTGAGCCTTTGGAAATTTTAGTGAGTTTTTAGCTCAGTGAAGTCTACCCGTTTGAGGTGTTCGCGTTTGGCGAGTTTAGTAAATGTGTCAGCATGCTCCAGTTCCCAGATTCACCCTTCACCCCGAGCGGGTCTCTGCGGGCTGTCACCAGCCTGCTGCTTGTTTGTGTAGGTTTACTGCTGAACGGATTGCATAGGTTTGGAATTGGGACAAGCAGTCATCTTGGGCTTACTTCGTCAATCCCTGTTTGTATGAGTGAACAAACTTGGGAGCGAGATTGACAAATTGGGCCAGGACTCCAGCAGGACAGCTTCCGGCCCGCGAGGGTTACACTAGGATTTTGTGGATGTCACAGTGGTCGGTCCCAGTCACCCTCCAATTTACGAAGACAGTCAGTCATTTTTAACATCACTCCAAGTGCTTTTGAAGTCTAAAATAGCACATAATTAAAGGTATCCATTGGAGCGTGTGTTTGGAGAGTCAGATAATGGGAGAAGAACATCCTCTCGCTTGGACAGTCCTGGTGACAAGTAGCCAGAGCACAGCTGGGCTCGGCTGTCACGGTCCCGAGCGAGCACGGCTGGAGTTGCCGTGGGGTTCTGGGGCATGCCCATCTCGGGCAGCAGCTCTAGAGTAGCAGAGGGGAGGAGAGCAGGGAATGGGCCGACTGGTTGCTGCCCAGAGAGGCAGACCCTCCGAGAAAACAGACGCCTGTGGACTTGCACTTTCTCCACTCACTGCAGATAGCGAGTGCATTCACCTAAAGAATGTCAAAGTTTTGGTCCTTGCCAATGCCAGTGTTGGGACTCTCTGAGTTGGTGTGTTTTCAAACAGTATCCAGAAAAGAACTCACGTGGCCATCTTCCTGGTTGCTAATGGTGGGTTCCAGTGCCGAGGTCAGCTGCCAGCTGACAACCCCGGCTGTGCTGGCTGCAGAGTGTTAGGTAGGAGTTGTGCTTGAGCATTGAGACCGTTGTCTTTTTGCTTTGCAGGACCTGATGATTCTCAGACATGCGTTGGATCTGCTCTTGCCAAAGGTAAGAAGTTGGCAGTTTCCCACCAGCTCGCAGGGGCAGAGCTGGGTGCCAGGCGTGAGATCAGCAGTGTAGATGTGCCTGGGTTGTCATTTTCTCATCTCTAGGATTAACTGGTCAGAGCACTGTAAGTAGAAAGCAGAGTCTTCTGCAGGAAGGAAGGGCAGTCAGAGACCTGCTGCTGGACTCTTGTGGCCAGGATTCTGGTTCTGTCCTGTTTGCTCTGCCCTTGACCATCTGTGAGGGGTCAGACAGCTCCGCCCTCAGTGGGTGCCGAGAACGCTGCCAGGTGCGGCCGCACAGCCATGACGGATCTGACAGCTTCCTGCCCAGAGCTTTAGGAAGCTGCTTGTACGGAAGATCTTTCAGTCTCCAGTGATATATGAGCTCAAACCTAAATTTAACCCTGTTTCCCCCATGGTCTTTCTTGCAGCTTGCCAGAGTGGTCTCTCGGCTTGCTGACTTCGCCAAGGAGCGAGCTGATCTCCCCACCTTAGGCTTCACACATTTCCAGTAAGTCAGAAACGCCTCCTTGGGGGCTGGGCTTGGTTTTGTATCTGTGACTTGGATGTACTCCCTTTCTTGGCAAACTTGACCTGAAGATTCTCAACATGGTGTAGGTTGGTCACTTGGAATAAACCCGGTAGTCAGCTGGTGAGAGGCCGGCAGCTTACTGGGAGTCACCGTGTGCATCCAGAGCGTCGGTGACGTTCCTACAGCTTGACTTTGCAGTTCTGCAGGATCTAACCCGAGGAAGAATCTAAATTATAGGAGCAACTTGTTGCAGTCTGTGTTAGCATAGCATTTATGATGGTGACTGCTGAAAGCAGTTCAAATGTCTCATAATGTGACAGTACTTAACTTAGGTCTAGGAAATCCACTGGCTGGAATAATAAGTAACCATTGAGATGATGCTCATAGAACTTAATAAATAACATGAGAATGTACTTAAGTAGTGTTTTGAGAAGATGGCTCATAGGACCCAGCACTGTGGTATAGAGGTAAAGTTGCTGTGTCTGGTGCCAGGATCATGTATGGGTGACAGTTCAAGTCCCCGCTGCTCCATTTCCAATCTTGCTCCCTGCTAATGTTCCTGGGAACAGCAGAAAATGGCCCGAGTCCTTGGGACCTTGCAGCCTTGTGGGATACACAGAAGCTGCTCCTGGCTTCACATCAGCCCAGCTCTGGCCTTGGGGCCTGCTTGCTTGCTTCCTTCCTTCTTTCTTTTTTCCTTCCTTCCCTTCTTTCTTAATAGATAACTTAAAAATTGCACAAAGATTATATCAAAGTATGTCATTAGAAGCCGATGTTGTGCAGTGAGTTAAGCTACCACCCATGGTGCTGACATTCCATGAAGGCACTGATTCAAGTCCCCGCTGCTCTTCTTCCCATCCAGCACCTTGCCATTGGCCTGGGAAAACACTGGAAGATAGCCCAAGGATCCCGTGGGGAGTTCCAGATGGAGTTCCAAGCTCCTAGCTTTGCCCCCTGGCCTAGCTCAGGCCTTTGTAGCCATCTGGCAAACAAACTATCAAATGGAAGATCTCACTCTCTCTAACTCTGCCTTTTAACTAGGTAATGTTTTGAAAAGATATTCTTTTTTTATTAGAAAGTCAGTTATGCAGTGAGAGGCGATAGAAAAATATCCTCCATCTGCTGGTTCACTACTCAAGTGACTGCAATGGCTGGAGCTGAGCTGATCCGAAGCCAGGAGCTGGGAACTTCTTATGGGTCTCCTGCGTGGGTGCAGGGTCTCAAGGCTTTGTGCTATCCTTGACTGCTTTCATAGACCACAAGCAGGGAGCTAATTGAGTAGCGGGGTGGCCAGGACACAAACCAGCATCCATATGGGATCCTGGCACATACAAGGCGAGGACCTTGGGCACTAGGCTACCATGCTGTGTAGCCTCTATTCTGAGAGCTTCACAGAAACACACAGGCCTTGATCCAGCAGCACACTGCCGCTAGAACTTTGCCATCAGCAAGTGGGCCCTTCAGCTGACCACTCAAGGGACGGTCACACCTGCTGGAGGCCAGAGCACAAGAAGGGTGTGTGGAGTAGGTGTAAAAAGAAAGATGGGGCCCGGCGCAATGGCGTAGTGGTTAAATTCCTTGCCTTGCATGCCCAGGAACCCCTATGGGCACCGGTTCTAGTCCCGGCAGCTCTGCTTCCCGTCCAGCTCCCTGCTAGTGGCCTGGGAAAGCAGTTGAGGACGCCCCAAAGCCTTGGGACCCTGCACCTGCATGGGAAGAAGCTCCTAGCTCCTGGCTTCAGACTGGCTGAGTTCCAGCCATTGCAGCCACTCGGGGAGTGAATCAACAGACGGAAGATCTTCCTCTCTGTCTTTCCTCCTCTCTGTATATTTGCCTTTCCAATAAAAATAAATAAGTCTTTAAAAAAGAAAGAAAAGATGGACCACTACAATTTCATAATCATAATGGACCATGCAAGAAAGCTGTCGCCTTTATTTATACAGAAGCAGTCACAAGCTCTGGCACAGACTTGACCTCCTGGTCAAGGGATGTTTCCAAGGATGTTCTGCTTGACCTTAAAGCAGGGTATTATCCATCCTGACCCTGTGGTCAGGAAGTTCTCAGTAGATGGTGCATATCAGTCGTTAACACATTCCTACAACTTAATCTTGGATCAGTTAAGGGAGGAAATGCATCACAGAAGGAGAGACCTCAAGATCAAGGATGGTGAGTGGGGGCAGCCGAGACAGCATGAATTGTGAACGGCCAGCAGCATCAACTTCCAAGCTCACATTGATAGTGGCAGACACTTCCTAAGTAGATTGCAGATTTCTCAGCAGGGTGGTTGGTAGTCCATGCGAAGGGGGGTGGAACTTCCTTGAGGTAGTTGCAGAGCCATCACCAGGCCTTGCCTTGCATCAGGGAACTCCTCGTGGCCTTGCCAGGTGGGGAATGGCTCTTCTCACACCTTCATGCCCTCCACACCCACTGCACGGACCCCAGCACACACCTGTGCTTTTACACCAACCAGGGGCCCACATGTGAGCTGGTCATGCACTAGTCGGCCCCCACTTCAGGCTCGGGCCTTGTCCACGTGGTGGTGCGTGTCGGAGCTTCACTCCTGGCCATGGCTAAACAGCATCCCAGTGTGTGCACCCTCAGTGAGGAGGATCACCGAGGGGCGTTTGGGTCTGCTTGGAGTAATGCTGCTGGGAACCGGGCCGGGCTGGGGGATTTGTTGCTTGACTCTCATCTGGGATCCTTTCCAGGAGGTTAATGAGGTGTGCTGTATGGCCTATGGAGTGCCAGGCTTGGGCATTCTTAGTGTGTGCCTCATGTCATGAACTGTCCCTGCCGTTGGCAAGCGGAGAGATGCTACTTAGGATGGGCTAAGTTGCCCATCAGAACTTGTATGTTCTTGTTCATAGTTAGGGTTTATGTTCAGAAACAGACCTCGTGGCTTAATTTGGACTTCAGATTGAACAAAGCCATTTGCTGGTACACTGGGGTGCTTTGGTGCCGTGAGGTTTAGGGCTGTCCGTGGCAGGACAGCTGTTTGTTAGAGCTGTCTGCGGCATAGAAGCCTCCCCTGCTGCCAAACTGAGGAAGCCCTCTCCAGGACTCTTATCCTTGTCTCACTCTTGTAGCATGGGATGTCACGAGGCCTATCTTGTGTTTTGTTGTTGTTTTTGTTGTTGGAGGGGAAGCTTACCTGATATTTCTTGCCAACATCTGAAGATAGGTTAAACAAACTAGAGTTAAAAGATTGATTTTTATTGGAAAGCCAGATATACAAAGAGGAAGATCTTCTGTCCGATGGTTGACTCGCCAAGTAGCTGCAAAAAGCCAGAACCGAGCCATTCCAAAGCCAGGGGCTGGAGCCTTTTCTGGGTCTCCCACATGCGGGTGCAGTGTCGCAAGACTTTGGGCCGTCCTCGACTGCTTTCCCAGACCACAAACAAGGAGCTGGTTGGGAAGTGGGGCCTTTGGGATTAGAACCATTGCCCATATGGGATCCCCGCAGATGCAAGGCAAGGACTTTAGCTGGTAGGCTACTGTGCCAGGCCCTTTCATGAATTGCTTTTTTTAAAAAAGATTTATTTTATTTTTATTGGAAAGGCGGATATACAGAGAGGAAGATCTTCGTCCGATGATTCACTCCCCAAGTGAGTGCAACGGCCGATGCTATGCCGATCCGAAGCCAGGGGCCTCTTCCGGGTCTCCCATGTGGGTGCAGGGTCTCAAAGCTTTGGGCCGTCCTCGACTGCTTTCCTGGGCCATAGGCAGGGAACTGGATGGGAAGTGGAGCTGCCGGGATTAGAACTGGCACCCATATGGGATCCCGGGCGTGCAAGGCGAGGACCTTAACCACTTGTGCCACCGCGCCGGGCCCCATGAATTATTTTTAAAGAGTTATTTATTTAAAAGGCAGAGTTGAGCCTGGCGCCGAATCCTAACAGCTTAAGTCCTCGCCTTGAATGCATCGGGATCCCATATGGGTGTTGGTTCTAATCCCAGCAGCTCTACTTGCCATCCAGCTCCCTGCTTGTGGCCTAGGAAAGCAGTCGAGGACGGCCCAAAGCTTTTGGACTCTGCACCTGCGTGGGAGACCTGGAAGAGCTCCTAGCTCCTGGCTTTGGGTCAGTTGTTGCAGCACCTGCCATTGAGGTCCCTTGGGTAGTGAATCATCAGATGGAAGATCTTTCTTTCCATCTTGCTTTCTTTATATATATATCTGACTTTGTAATAAAAAATAAAATAAATCTTTTTTTTAAAAAAGGCAGAGTTATGGGGTTGGGGACAGGTGAAAGAAAGAGACAGAGAGATCTTTTGTCTGCTGGACAGGCCAAAGCCAGGAGCTCAAGCAGTTGAGGCAACTTCCACAATTTTCTGGGTGCGTAAGCCACGGGGCTAGGTCAGAACTGGAGCAGCCAAGCTTCAAAGCGGCGCCCTTCTGGGATCCCAACACTACAGTCAGTGGTTTTAGCTGGTTTGCCACAGTGCTGGTCCCTAAACTACTCCAGTAGCCTTTGATTTTTATCCTTGGATAATTATTAATGATATTTACTTCTCTTTAACTGTTGTTTTTTAGAATTTCTTATCTCTTGTCTTGTTTCTCTGGTTGTTGCCCCTCCAAGGGGGAGCAATGGCTGTTGAGAGAAGCAGCGGGCTTTTCGCAGTGAGGCCGCGGTTTGAGACCGCCCTGTGTTCTCTCTGGGCTGTTCTAGGCCCGCCCAGCTGACGACGGTTGGAAAACGCTGCTGTCTTTGGATCCAAGACCTCTGTATGGATCTGCAGAATCTGAGCCGCGTCCGAGAGGACCTGCGCTTCCGCGGGGTGAAGGGCACGACCGGCACACAGGCCAGCTTCCTACAGCTCTTTGAGGGGGATCACCAGAAGGTATCGTGCCATGAAACTCCCCCAGAGGACCCTAAGACCCAGGCTGATCCCAGGACTGTGGCAGGTGCTGACTTGGAGGTGGGGTGTGGGGTCTTTGGATAGGGAAGAGGTCAGCAGGGGCTGAGGCCCGGACAGGAACACAGCTTGGGGGGTGTTGTCCTAGATCCCAGATCCTTGTAGGAATCTGTCCTTTTTCTCCAAGGTGGAACAGCTGGACCGGATGGTGACTGAGAAGGCAGGCTTTAAAAGGTAGGTGGCTAGGCCCGGCAACATGGCCTAGCAGCTAAGGTCCTCACCTTGAACATGTTGGAATCCCATATGGGCGCCGGTTCTAATCCCGGCAGCTCCACTTCCCATCCAGCTCCCTGCCTGTGGCCTGGGAAGGCAGTCGAGGACGGCCCAAAGCCTTGGGACCCTGCACCCGTGTGGGAGACCCGGAAGAGGTTCCTGGTTCCCGGTTTCAGATTGGCGCAGCACCGGCTGTAGCGCTCACTTGGGGAGTGAATCATCGGACGGAAGATCTTCCTCTCTGACTCTCTCTTCTCTGTATATCTGACTTTGTAATAAAAATAAATAAATCTTTAATAAAAAAAAGAGGTACGTGGCTGGCCATGCGTGGCCTCCCTGCCACGGTGCTCACACATCTGTATTCTGTTGACCTCCAGGTTTAACCTGACATTTTGGGCATTTTCCTTCATCAAGCTTCTGCCCATTTGCTCTTTGTTCCTAGTTCTCAATAAGTAAAAAAAAGGAAACTTTTTTTTTTGAGATGTATTTATTTTTATTGTAAAGTCAGATATACAGAGAGGAGGAGAGACAGACAGGAAGATCTTCCATCCATTGATTCACTCCCCAAGTGGCCTCAACAGCCAGAGCTGAGCTGATCTGAAGCCAGTAGGCAGGAGCCTCTTCTGGGTCTCCCATGCAAGCGCAGGGTCCGAATGCCTTGGGCCGTCCTTGACTACTTTCCCAGGCCACAAGCAGGGAGCTGGATGGGAAGCGGGACCGCTAGGATTAGAACTGGCACTCATATGGGATCCCAGTACATTCAAGGTCAGAACTTTAGCCGCCAGGCTACCGTGCTGGGCCCAAAGGAAACTATTTTTGTTTCTTTATTGGACTCCTGCCTGCGGGATTCCAGGGAAGACCTCCAGGCTTTCCCAGAACTCCTTCCAGGCTGTTCCGCTGGGCTGTGGCTTTTCCTTTTTGGAGCAGGCCTCGTCCCCTAGCACAAGGCAAAGGCATGGGCAGAGGCAGGTTGTTTTTCTAGGAGCAAGTTGCCAGTCGAGCCTCCCTGCCTACTATGACGTCACCATGCCGGGAAGAGCGAGGATCAGCAGTGTTTGTCGTGGCTTTCCCCGAGCCCCCTCTCCTGGGTGTTTGCAGGGCTTTCATCATCACCGGTCAGACCTACACGCGCAAAGTGGACATCGAGGTGCTCTCCGTGCTGGCCAGCTTGGGGGCCTCGGTGCACAAGGTGAGGGGCGGAGCTGGCAGCGCCACAGACACGCTCCTTCCGCCTTGGCTTTGTGTGTGCGTGTCTCACGGGGTAACTGCATGTTTTTTCTCACAGTCTGGGATTTGGACATGGAGCCCTTAAATCAAGATGTGTTAAAGAGAAAGACTCGTTTAGACATTCTCTTTGAAGCTACCCCCAGGATTGCAAGATAGCCCCTCTCGCAGGCACTTGTCCTCGCTGGTGCCTTCCCATGATACCTTTGCAGTGTCATGAGCATTTCCGTGTCTTTGGAACCTGTCACCCCAGCTCTTCAGGAGCACACAGGCCTGGGCCGGCCCCTTGCTGGGCGCCTCTCGGGAGGATGGCCCAGTGGCTGTGTACCTGACGAGGAGCTGTCTCCATCTGTCTCCGGGGCCTTGTCCCTGACCCATCTACCTGCCTGGAACGTGGGGTGATAGCCACCCTCTGTTTCCCCCAGATTTGCACCGACATACGTCTCCTGGCAAACCTCAAGGAAATGGAAGAGCCCTTTGAGAAGCAACAGATTGGTGAGTGTGGTCTGGAGATGCTGCGTGTGGTGCTGACCATTCACCTGGCAGCATGCGTGCCCGTGTGCCCACTGCGCCCTGTTCTCTGATCTCTGCCTGTGCGTCCCATGCTCCCCGTCCTCTCCGTGGGCAGGCTCCAGCGCGATGCCGTACAAACGGAACCCCATGCGGTCAGAGCGTTGCTGCAGCCTTGCCCGCCACCTGATGACCCTTGTGATGGACCCGCTGCAGACGGCCTCCGTGCAGTGGTTTGAGCGCACGCTGGATGACAGCGCCAACCGGTCAGTGGAATGCGAGCATTGAGCAGTGCGGAGTGGGAGGGAGGCTGACAGAGGTGCCAGGAGGCAAAGGGAGTGCTGGGCATCTCAGTGAGCCTGGACTCTAGCAGAGGGTGGCCAGTGTTGGGACCCGAGGGCACTCAGGGTGTTGTGGGACAGGAGGGAAGGAGTTGTGTCCCGTGTGGGCCGGGTAGGGAGGCAGAAGGCGCGGTGCGGGGAGTTGGTGACGGCTGAGTGAGCGGTAGAGCACAGGCCGTGTGGCCTGGCCGTTGTGAAAGTATAGACGTCACTCTGAGACAGGTGGGCGGTCATCTGTGGCTGCTGATGAGGCACCGCGTGCGCCTGGCTTCTCGGTTTACACTCCTCTGCTGCAGAGTCAGCTCACTCTTAGTTGCTTGTCTTACATTGGGATTTCTTGAGTGAAATGGATATTAAGTTAAGCTAGTTTTCTGGGATCTCTGCCTAGTCCAGGACTTGGCCATTCCCGTTACCTTTGGGGGCTGTTCCAGGAGGGCCAGGATTGTTGGGAGTGGAGTCAGTCCCTTACATGAAGTGGTGTGGTACTTCATATAACCTGCAATATGTCACAGTACCTCAACAGTGTAACTAAATGCAATGTAAAGTTTTATTGTTTAGGAAATCATGACCAGAAAAAAAATCTGTGGCTGTTCAGCACATGTGGTTTGAGGTCATGCATGTTAAATCCTCAGATGCAGGAGCTGCTGTGCCTCCTGGCAGGGCGCGACCTCCTCCACTGGCCTGCTGAAATACTCTGGGAACAATGTGAAGACTGCCTTGTAAGGGGCGTGGATCTAGTCAGAACACCTTAGGAGCTCACTTTGAAATCCCTGTCCGTGTGGGCACAGCAGCCTTGAGGATGGAGAGGAAGAGTGTGGATTACAAGTGGATGGAAGGCATGTTAGTCAGCCCTTGGGCCCGAGAGCAGCAAGTACAGGGGGCTTGGGGCCGCTTGGGGCTGAGGCAGGGATGGAGAGCAGGGGGCTCGGGGCTGCTTGGGACTGAGGCAGGGATGGAGAGCAGGGGGCTTGGGGCCGCTTGGGACTGAGGCAGGGATGGAGACCATGCATCTGAGAGCACGGGAGCAGTTTGCATCAGGCTGAGGAGGAGGCACCAAGGAAGTGGCTCGATTCACTTGGGAGTGCCTATGGGTCAGCCAGGGAAGGCCTGGCACTTGGGCAAGTGACCTAACTAGAAGTGAAGATGAGGGGTCAGGAGGACTTGGGTCAGTCGCATTCCTGAGATCTGCGCAGGGAGCTTAGTCCACACGTGTAGCCCCCGGGGGTGCCTGCTGAGCGAATGGCTGGTGGCTGTTTTGCAGGCGGATCTGTTTGGCTGAGGCCTTTCTCACCGCAGACACTCTGCTGAGTACCCTGCAGAACGTTTCCGAAGGGCTGGTGGTGTACCCCAAAGTAAGAGGCCACGATTAAAAGGAAGTATCAGGGAGGGGTGGGAACACTGGGGGGACCTGGCAAGCTTCAGGGTATGTGCTGGAGACTGTTGGGGTGTGTCTTCCCAGCTGGAGCCCCTCCTGGCGTTTATGGCATGAGCCCTCGGGATCTTGCTCTGGGGCGTCACAGACACATTGCCCTGAGCTGTCAGTCAGCATGCGTCACAGCTCTGGCGTGATGAGGCAGCACAGCTGGCTGCACTTGCCCACTAGGAGCCTGGGGCAGGCGGGTTCTTTTCCTTCGTTCCCAGCTCCGGAAGCCAGGCTCTGAAACTGAGCAAATTGCAGATCTTAAGAATCATTTCTATGAAGCTGCTTCTAAAAGTTTAATATTCCTTATATATTTATTTTTAATAAAAGTGAACCTGGATTAGTAAGAATACATAGCATGAAACACCCCATTACCTTTCTCCGTAAGTGCGATAGCTCCCACAGACGTAGGCAGCCTCAGCTGTCTGTCGGGCTGTGCCACTTCACAGGCATCCTTCTGGCTCTCCTAGGTGATTGAACGGCGCATTCGGCAGGAGTTGCCTTTCATGGCCACAGAGAACATCATCATGGCCATGGTCAAAGCTGGGGGTAACCGCCAGGTGTGTAACTCAGACCCCACATGCACCGAGGGTCACCCCAGGTGTGTACCCAGGCCCCCGTGTGCACTGAGGCTCACCCCGGGTGTGTACCCAGGTCTCCACATACACTGAGGGTCATCCCAGGTGTGTAAGCCAGGTCCCCACATACACTGAGGGTCATCCCGGGTGTGTAAGCCAGGACCCCGCGTGCACTGAGGGTCACCCTGGGTGTGTACCCAGGCCCCGGTGTGCACTGAGGGTCACCTGCAGTGCTGCCATCTCCTGGCAAATGTGTGAAGGAAGGCATTTCAGCGGCCAGGTCGTGCAGAGCCCATCCTCTGCCATTGCCAGGGGTCAGTGTGGTGAACTCACCTTGTTAAATGTGACCCACTCATTCACTTGAGGAAAATGTTGACTGTCAGTGAAGGAATTATTTCTGCATTTGCGTGGCAGGTGATGGCAGGTAGGCAGGGTGGAGGCAGGCTGAGGGGAAGTGGCTCGGGCCACAGGGGTTTTGTGAGCCAGCTGTGCAGTGCCTGGTGACGTCGCCATGGAGTGACACTACTTTGGTGTCTTCCCAGGATTGCCATGAGAGAATCCGCGTGCTGTCCCAGCAGGCAGCTGCTGTGGTGAAGCAGGAAGGCGGTGACAACGACCTGATGGACCGGGTGCGCGCCGACGCCTACTTCAGCCCCATCCACTCCCAGCTCGACCGTCTGCTAGATCCGTCCTCCTTCACCGGTCGCGCTGCCCAGCAGGTAGGTGACATCGGACACGTCCACGGGGTCTACCCCAGGTGTCTGTCTACACCGCCTGGCCAGAAAAACTCAGGGTCTTTCTGGAATGCTCCTCTTGTAAGGAGAGGTGGGGTGCAAATGAAGCTGATTAAAAACAAACAAACAAACATAGTTACTGGGAGAAGTGGAAAGATTGAGTGATTTTGAGAGCTACTTAATTATTTCCCGTGGATTCGTCAGAGATTTTATTTGGTGTCCGTGTGATAAAATGAGAGCAGGTGTTAGAAGCAGCAGTGAAGGTGCTGCTAGGGGCTGGGGGCCTGGGAGGCAGCAGCTGGCGGTGCAGCTGGAGGCGTGCGGGAAGCCTGAGGGCAGTCCCTGCTTCTAGCCGCTGTCTGGCCCAGCCCTGGCTTCCCTGGGCGCTTGGAGAAACAGCAGGTAGGAGAGTCCTCTCTCTAACTTTCAAGTTATATATTTTTCTTAAGGATGAACTGCTGTTGCATATGATTTTTTGTTTAAGGTTTATTTTATTTTTACTTGAAAGAGTTAAAGAGAACAAGAGGGAATAATGTTCCGTCTGCTGGCTCACTCTCTTGAATGGGCGTAATGGCCAGAGCTGGGTTGGTTCAGAGCCAGGAGCCAATTCCGGTTCTCCCGTGGGGGTACAGGGACCCAAGGACTTGAGCCAGCCTCTGCTGCTTTCCTAGGACATTAGCAGGGGAGTGTATTAGAAATGGAGCTGCCAGGATTCCAACTAGCACAATATGGAATGCTGGCACCTAGGCGCAAGATTACCTGCTTATGCCACTGCACCAGACATCCCCCCAGTAAAAATAAATTTTTAGAAATATTTATTGGACAGGGCGTGATGGCTCAGTGGCTAAATTCTCACCTTGCATGAATTGGGATCCCATATGGGGCACCTGTTCATGTCCCAGCTACTCTACTTCCCATCCAGCTCCCTGCTTATGGCCTGCACCAACGTGGGAAACCCAGAAAAATTCTTGACTCCTGGTTTTGGATTGGCTCAGCCCTGGCTTTACAGCCACTTGGGGTGTGAACTAGTGAATGGAGCTTCTTTCTGTCTCATTCTCTCTGTAAATCTGCCTTTCCAATTAAAAAGAAGTTTCCTTATTTGAAAGATAGTGGTATATTTTATTCACTGAGTCAGTTGTTCACTGCCAGATAACCTGGGCTGGGCTAGTCTGAACTCAGGAGCCCTGAACGTAATCTGAGTCTCCCACATGGGTGGCAAGGATGCAGCTGTGGGATCAGTGACGTGCTGCCTTCCAGGATGCCTTAGCAGGAAGCTGGATTGGAAGCGGAGGAGCCAAGACTTGAGCAGGCACTCTGATACAGGAAACAGGTGTCTCAAGCCTGCTGGACCACGATGCCTGCCCTAATCAGAAAAAAAAAAACCATGATGTGGTAGAACAGACAAATAACTGGGTTTTACTGTCATGTGAGTCTGTGTTCAAGATAGAGGGAAACACACAGTCTTGGTGTAGGGTCTGAAATGCTTACAGTAATCCTTGGGACTTAAGACTGTCACTGTTCCTTTTGATCTTTCAAAAAGTCTAGAGGAATTAATTCAAACACATGCATTAAATACATACAAGGTCTCAATATATGCTTGGTTTGGGAGACTTAAAGATGACGAGGGAATCCTTGTCTTAGTGGCGAAGTATTTAAAAGTCTAAGTAGGTGGTTATAGTGCATGCGGGAGTTGAGGGAAGGGCACCTGTTGGGAATCACAAACTAGGGGACAGACATCCTTGTCAAGGCCCAGGAGGGTGGTGAGAAAAAGCTTCACAGAGATGTCTATGACCTTGTAGAGCTGGCTTGGGAACGCCAGGCTGAGAGGAGCTAGCGGCTCTGTAGGCCTCTGACATGTGGAAGTAACCAAGGCCCCTGAGTGTTGGGTATGCCAGAGTAGCAGCTGCCCCAGAAGTAGTTAAAGGGGGCTGAAGGTGAAGGCAGGTGAAGTTTATTTATCATACAGGTCACTTTTTCATTAATGGTAACAGTCTGATTACACTGGAAAGGTAGGGAGACCAATAAGGCGGCTGATACCAACAGCCCGGCCGTGGGTGACACACAACAGGCAGCGGGAGAGCTTGGTAGGTGTTGTTGGGCTGGGAAATGGGAGTGACTGGGTAGAAGTGGTGAGAACTGAGTTATGGCAGCCGGATGGGGCCGTGGGGGAGAAGGTGCGTGTGGGCATGGCAGGCTGGCTTGTCCGCATTGGGGAGAGGTTTGTGATCGACAGTGGAGGACGACAGCAGGTCAGTGCTGGAGTCGAATCTGTTGACCATTGCCACTGTTAAAGGTAGAACGCTCCCATTTCCAATGGTCTTACCTTCCTCTCTCTTGCAGGTACAGAGATTCTTAGAGGAAGAAGTGTACCCCCTGTTAAAGCCATATGAAAGTGTGATGCAGGTGAAAGCAGAGTTGTCACTGTAGACGAGGAGAAGTCATTATCGGTTTTGTTAACTTCATTGCTGAGACATGAACAGTGTTATGCAGTGCCTTATTTTCCTTCCAGAACTATTAAATTAATTCAGTACTTTCCCGTGGTGTTTGTGTGTTTCTCAGGGTTGATAGTAGGAGACAGCGTATTGCATTGTTACAGCAGTACTAACTTACATAATAAATAACTCTCCAAACACTTAAGTTGGCTTATGATCGGGAAAAAAAATCATGCAACGCAAAACCTGTGCTGTAATGAAGTGTCCAGTAGCTCATGTCGTTAGTGATATCCAGGACTGAGAGTAAAAAACAGAATGGCTACTTGGGTATGCTGTCACACCAATGTAAAACTGAGAAGTCAAACCACTTAAGTCTGGGACCATCCATAATCCATTCACATGTTCTATTGTGTGTGTGTTTTATTCGGAAGTCAGGGCCACCGGTTCGTTCCCCAGAAACCAAGGTCTTCCTGGTCTCCCACATGGATGCTGGGGCCCAAACACATGGGCCATCTGAATGCTCTTCCCAGGCCAGTGGCGAGAGCTGGATCGCGGGTGGAGCAGCTAGGACACAAACTCATCTCCCAGCATCACAGGTGGCAGTGATCAGCTCTGCCTCCATGCTGGTCCCGTTGGTGTGCAGTTAAGTAACCGATTCCTGACCCTGTCAGAGGCAGATTTGATTTACACGTAACAGACCATCCTAGATCCAGTGGTTTTGTAGTGTCTGTTTCATTTACATCTGCCACAATACTCTAAGAACCTGCCGTGACCATCAGGCTTAGCCGGCTCAGGTTGTGCCCCTGGCATCTTGGTAAGCCTTGTAGTCCAGGAAACACTAACTGGTCAGATTGATTTCCTTAGGGCATCTAGCAGTCTTTATTCCGTGTTCCCTGGACGTACAGCTGGAACCAGACGAGCAGAGCTGTGAGTGCCCACACGGCAGGAGAGTGCTGGTGCGGTATAGCTCAGTCTGCTGCGTGCTTCCAGGCAGAGGTGAGGATGATGGCAGGCAGCTCTTGCTGCAGGTGGCCTTCCAAGTCTGTCAGGGGCACTGAGCCTTGAGTGGTGGAGCAGGGGCTGGGAGAAGGGATGTTTGCATCTGCTAGGAAATGAGGTCTCTGTACTTGCCTCCACTGTGGGAGCAAATAGCTGCTGGCAGGCTGTCGAATCAGGACGTTTCCGCAATGGCAGACCACGTGGGAGACAGCAGATGCTTGATTTCCTTGCAGGAAACAAAGGCACAAGGCACCAAGCAGCGCTCTCGTCGGGGCAGTTCTGCCAGACCCCTGGCCCGGTGGCGGCTCAGCCTGTTGGAGTGCACACGTTCGTTTGCACGTCTGTCTATGTCCCTTTCCATTCTCTTTTGTTTTTATTTTTACACACTGTGATTGCATGTCTCAATGCCTCTTTGTGATCTGATCGTATTTTCTTTTTTTTTTTTAAAGATTTATTTTTATTATGTTTTTATTGGAAAGGCGGATATACAGAGAGGAGAGACAGAGAGGAAGATCTTCCGTCCGATGATTCACTCCCCAAGTGAGCGCAACGGGCCGATACTATGCCAATCCGAAGCCAGGAGCCTTTTCCGGGTCTCCCACGCGGGTGCAGGGTCCCAAAGCTTTGGGCCATCCTCGACTGCTTTCCCAGGCCACAGGCAGGGAGCTGGAAGGGAAGCGGGGCTGCCGGGATTAGAACCGGCGCCCATATGGGATCCCGGGCGTGCAAAGCGAGGACCTTAACCACTTGTGCCACCGCGCCGGGCCCTGATCATATTTTCCATTGTAGCATTTTAAGCAGGGGTATTCAGCTGACCTGCAGGTTGGCTAGAGCACTTGTGCTTCTTTAAAATTAACCTCACATTTAGCCAGCTGCTCCAACTGGGGGATCAGAGTCATGCAGACATTAGGGACGGGGCCTGGGGGGCAATCAACCCACTTTCCGTTCACGTGCTTGGCACTTACTCCACTTCTCCCGCCCCACCCCACTCCCAGGCCAGTAGCTTTTATTTAGGAACAGGCAGTCCTAATGTTTCATGCCCAGAAGTTGGGACCCCACAATGGCACCGAGCCTAGGTCACTATGAGGCTTAGGGAACAAAGAATAAGTCGGCATAAAAATCAGGCAAGATTAGGAAGCTGTGTAATAAGATACTGAGTATGATTCCACTGATATGGATTTAAGGTGACTTTTTCTGCAAGTTTTTAGCAATTCTAATTAAAAAAAAATCTGTATTTTTCTTGAAAAGTTAGATTTATAGAGAGAAGGGGAGACAAAGATCTTTTCTCTGCTGGTTCATTCCACAAGTGACTGCAAAGGCTGGAGCTGATCTGAAGCTAGGAGCCAAGAGAAGAATCTGAGTCTCCCACAGTGCAGAGTCCCAAGGCTTTGGCCTATCCTCCAGTGCTTTCCCAGGCGACAGGCAGGGAGCTGGATGGGAAGCAGAGCAGCCGAGAAACGAACTGGTGCCCATATGAGATCCTGGCATGTGCAAGGTGAGGATTTTAGCCACTAGGCTATCAGGCTGTGCCCTAATCTTCATTTTTGAATAGCTTGGTTTATAGGAAAATTGCAGCTAGTACAGTACCCCCATACTTGTAGTCTTCTTGAGGTCCTACATTGTTAGGTTCAGCTGCAAAGTTGTTTGTGTGTGTGTGTTTAATTGGAAAGTCACATTTACAGAGAGAAAGATCTTTCATCCACTAGTTTACTCCCCAGGCAACCACAATGGCTGGAGCTGGGCTGGTCCAAAGCCAGAAGCTTCTGGGTCTTGCATATGGGTACAGGGTCCCAATGCTTTGGATTCTTGACTGCTTTCCCAGGCCACAAGCAGGGAGCTGGATGGGAAGTGGAGCAGCCGAGCACGAACCAGCGCCCATATGGGATCCCAGGCGCAGACAAGGTGAGGATTTAGTCACTGAGCCATCGTGCCGGAGCTTTAGTTTGTAACTGTTGTCCTTTTTCTGTTCCAAGATCTCATCATCAGAAAGATTATTTATTTACTTAACTTTCTTACTTATTTGAAAGCAGCAGCAGCAGAGACAGGGAGCAGTGTCTTCATCTTGTGTTTCACTCTCCTGGCTGCAGCATCCAGATTTGGACCAGGCCAAATACCAGGAGCCAGCAGCTCCAGCCTGGCAGCTCCGCGTGGCAGGCTTCCAGAGATTTGGAGCAGGGTTGCAAGTTTTTTTGGGAAGTTGGATCCGAAGTAGAAACTGGCACTTCAGTATGGAATGCCTTTATTACAGCTGCGGGATAACCTGAGGCACCCAGGAATATTATGTTTAAAATTCACTGAAAGTTATATACATTGTAAAATACAGTTTGGGGCTGGTGTTGTGATAGATCAGGAAAAGCTGCCGCCTAAGCTCGGTTGGAGTTTCAGCTGTTGTACTCCCTGTCAACGGCCTGGGAAAGAAGACAAGGCTGGCCCCAGTGTTTGTACCCCTATACCCACATGGAAAAATGAAGGCCCTGGTTTCATTCTAGCCCAAAACCAGTCACTGCCATTATTTGGGGAATGAAACAGTGAACTGAAAAATCTTCCTCTCTAACTCTTCCTTTCAAATAAATTTTTAAATAAAAATCATTCTTAGATAATGTCTGGTAGGCATGGAATTTCGCGTGTAAGTTCAGCTAGTTTTGATTGCACAAAGAATGGTATTTGGTTTCTTTACTCTGGACATGTCTTCATATTCTTAAGAGTGTTGTCTAAGGGAGAAAGGAGGCAAAATTTTGGGAAAAAAAAGGTTAAAGCAGTTTGTACAGATGGCAGTTTGCTTTCATGGAAAGTCTAGGCTTGCAGCATTTGGCTGACTTTGGGCCACAATTTCAAGGTCTTCACTTGGAGGACAAGAGGCTCCTTGAGTACTGGCATGAAAGGTTACGACAGTTACGGGGTCGGGCATCTGGCTGAGTGTTGGATTCCTGCTTTCGGTATCGGAGTTCCTAGGCTCAAGGATCGGCCCCACTCCAGTTACCAAACTGTTCCTGGGAAAATGGAACAAAAAGGGGCCCGGTGTGGTGGCCTAGCGGCTAAAGTCCTCACCTTGAATGTGCCGGGTGCACGGCTGAGTCATGTCAGTGCACTTGACTCCATCTCAACCATTTGGCAGTGTCAGAATTGGGACTCCTTGGGTGCTCTCCTAGGAAACTTCCAAGAATCTGGCCTTTTCTCACTTTTATTATCTGATGAATGCAGGCTGAGGATGTATATTCTGGCTCCTTTTAAAGAAAGATATATATTTATTTAGAAGAGTTACAGATAGAAAGATCTTCCATCTGCTGGCTCGCTCCCTAAATGGCTGCAACAACCATAGCTGAGCCGACCTGAAGCCCGTAGCTTCTTTTGGGTCTGCCATGTGGGTGCAGTGTCCCAAGCACAGGCCATCCCTTGCTGTTTTATAGGCACATTAGCAGGGACTGGGTCATTTGAACTAGCACCCATATGGGATACTGGTGCTGCAGATAGCGGCTTAATTAGCTGTTTAATTAGCAGCTTAATTACAGTTTAATTAGCTTCACCACAACGCTGGCCCTTTACATGTGCATGTTTTTACACAGCATTTACAAATCAAGTTTCGTATCATTAAGTCTTATTTATTTGAAAGGCAAAGTCTCAGGGAGGAGGGAAAGCTGCTGGTTCGCTTCCCAAATGGCCGCCAGAGCTGGGGCTGGGTCCTTGCGCGATGGCTCAGTTGGCTGGTCCCCTCCTGCATGTGCTGGTTGATGTTCCCGCTGCTCCACTTTCCTTCCAGCTCCCTGCCTGTGGCCTGGGAAGGCAGTAGAGGACGGCTCTGCCCCTGCATGGGAGACTAGGGAAAGCACCTGGTCCCTGCCTTTGGATCAGCTCAGCTCTGGTCATTGTAGACACTTGGGGAGTGAACCAGCGGATGGACGATCTTTGTATCTCTGTAAATCTCCCTTTCCAATAAAAGTGAGTAAATCTTAGTGGGAGCCAGAGACGCCATCCATGTGTCCCACACGGGTGGCAGCATTCAAGAACTCAGGCCACCCTCTGTGTGTTTCTTTCCAGGCTCACTGGCAGCAAGCTGATGGGGAGTGGGGAGCAGGGGCTGGTTCCTAGGCAGGTGTGCAGGGACGCAGGTATGCAGGTGTGCCCCACTTTAAAGAGGAGATTCCGAGGTAGGCAGTCTGGGTCTTTGGTGAGTCTCCTGCCTTGCCTCCGGAGGTCTGGAAGCCATAGGACAACACCTCCAGCTTCCCGCTGGGCGTGTGGGCAGACATGAAACGTAGCGGCTTATTGCGAAGACCTTGGGGAGCCTTGCAAAAATCACCGTGATTTGGCCGCCAAATTGACACCTGAATTCACTGTGTTTTTCCACAGAGGCAAACTTTTTAATTTTTATTTTGAATTTTTGAATTTTATGGTACAATTTTGTAGACTCTGGGATTTCTCCACCCCCACTATCCCACCCCTTGGCTGATTTCCCCCACGTTGTTACAACAGTATGGTCCTTCAGAAGGAGTCTTGATCCATCAGTCTGTTATTTAGGTGTGCCCCGACATTGCTGGTTCAATGTCAGACAGTCCAGCATCCCATTGTCTACACATGTCCAGTAGTTTCATTGGGGGGGGTGGTCTATCTTTGATTTGAAAGCAAGGATGCATATTGCATTGTATCCCCACATCTGGGTATGGTAGTCACAGAGACAAACTTTTAAAAAGGTTAATTCTTGCAAGCTCTCATACTTGAGAAAACAGGAAACTCATGGCCCTCAGGCAACCTTATTTTCTAGAGTAGCAATTGCAAGCCATGCTGTGGTTGACCCAGGTCCTCTGTAAGGTGCAGGCAGTTTGGGAGTGTTGTGAAATCGAGAGACTCTGACGTCACGGCGGCGTCACAGGCTTTGACGTCACGGCTACATCAGAGGCTCTGGCATGGCTTCATGCTGGTGCTAAGCAGGCATCCATCACGCCGGCTCTCCGCAGTGTCCTGCGCGGTGAGCGCGGCGGGGCCGGCGCCTACAATCCCCGGCATGCCTCGCGGGCCCCTCTCCCCTGCGCGCGTGCGCAGAGGCGCCGCTGACGGCGCTGGCCGGGCGTCCGCGGGCTGAACGCGGGACTGGCGCTGAGGTGGCAGCCGGGTTGGCCTGTGAGTGCGGGCCCGGCGGGCAGGACGCGGCTGGCGGCGTGGCGGGATGGGGCGGCGTGGCGGCGTGGGGCGGCGTGGCGGCGTGGGGCGGCGTGGCGGCGTGGGGTGGCCGGTGCCTGAGGGGCCCGAGCCCGCAGCGGGGAGCGGCCGTTCCGAAGCTGCCGCCCCCCCGGGAGTGCGGAGAGCCGGGAACCCCGCTGGGGAAACGCAGGGTCGCCCGGGGTGCTGGGGTCGGTAGCCGGCTTCTGGTCGGAGGAAGAGCCGGAGGCGTCTTCAAGTTGTTTTTCAGTGATTGTGAGTGGCTGCAGCCGTGTCTTCCAGCCCCGCTCCGTGGAACACCTGCAGGGGGTCGCGCGGGCTGTTTCCTGGTGGCTGGGGGGTGGGGGGGCGGCTATTTAGAGATGTTCTGGAATATTCTTAGTCCTCCGTTCTTGTGACACAAAAGTTCCTAATCAAACTGATTCACAAAAGCTAAATTTAGGGCTTGGGTGCTGGCCGCGTAGTGATGATGACGCGCGTGATTGAGTCTCCCACTTTCCGTGTTCATCCCTTCTCCTTCCAGTGTGGTGTGCACTGTCCGCTCTGGTCTTCGTGTTGCGTGTTCTCTGTTCCCTGTCATCTCCAGACGGAGTCCACTCTGAGTGAAGGGGAACTTCCCTGTCTGGGGTAACCCCTGGGGAAGGTTTTCATCACTGAACCCCCTCGCTCAGGCGGTAGGTGTGAGGTGGTGTGACCTGCGAGAGAGGAGCGGGGAGGGGACAGGGGATGGGGCGCGTGGGACCTGACCCCGTGGCCGACGTGAACCGGGAAGGGTCTTGCGGCACATCCGCGCCTGCTGAGTGTGGGCGCTGGCCGGGTTGATAGGAAAGGACCGTGCTGTTGGGGGACTCCTGAGACGCGGTCACTGCCGCGCACGGGGCCGTCTGTCTGGGAACTCTTGAACCTCCGGGCTGTCTGTTGTCCAGATGGCAGCATCAGTAATTTTCCACGTCGGCCATTCATGAGCTCGGGCGGACTGGCCTGGAGGGTGGCACACACACATCTCCAGCTGCACGCAGACTCAGGCGGTCTGGGTTTTCTCAGAGTGTGGGAGGAGCTGGAAGACCAGGGTCTGCCTGGCTTCCCTGTGACAATGACACCAGTCACACAGTGCATTCTGTGTCACAGTCACTGTTATAGCACTGTGTAAGTTGACCCCTTTCCCGTTAAATTTCTCCTTTGAATGATTGCCATTTCTACTTTCCCTCAGAAAGCAAATCAGGCCCTTTGCTACCATCTATTTTGTAGTTCGATGAAGCCTGGAATTGCTTTCATGAACTCCGTTCAGCCAGGTTTTTTTAAATAAGATTTTTATTATTAATATTGGAAAGGCAGATTTATAGAAAGGAAAGAGAAAAAGATTTTTCCATCTGCTGGTTCACTCCCCAAGAGGCCACAACAGCTGGAACTGAGCCGATTTGAAGCCAGGAGCTTCTTCCAAGTCCCAAGGCTTTGAGCCATCCTCGACTACTTTCCCAGGCCACAAGCAGGGAGCTGGATGGGAAGTGGAACAGCCGGGACGTAAACTGGTGCCCTTATGGGATCCCAGTGCATGCAACGCAAAGATTTAGCCATTAGGCGATTGTGCCAGGCCCGGCCATTTATTGTTTTAAGGTTTGTTTTTATTGGAAAGGCAGATTTACATAAAGGAGAGGTAGAAAGATCTTCCATCTGCTGGTTCACTCTCCAGGTGGCCAGAATAGCTGGAGCTGAGCTAATTTGAAGCCAGGAGTTTCTTCTGGATCTCCCACATGGATGAGAGGCCCCAAGGCCTTGGGCCATCTTCTACTGCTTCCCTAGACCACAGGCAGGGAGCTGGATGGGAAGTGGAGCAGCCGGGATGCGAACCGGCACTCATTTGGGATGCTGTCATTTGCAGGTGGAGGACTAGGCAGTTGAGCCGTCGTGCCAGCCCCAGTCAGCCATTTATGAGTTATCTCCTGTATTTGTGTGTTGCATCTCTAGACTTAGAAGATGGCCAAGCTGTGATAGTTGTCATCTAAGAGTCAAGGACTAACGAGGACGAGGAGTAAGTCCGTCACTGTTGATGTGCGACCTGGTGCTGAACGGGCTGTGTTGGGCAGAGGGCGGAGCATGTTGTTGAGAAGGTGACCCTGGGCTGCCAGTAGAGACACCTTTGACTGTGCTGGACAGTCGTGGCAGCATGGCGTGGTGGTGTGTGTGCTTCCGCTGTCTGCTGGGACAGGCGCTGAGAACCGTGTGGAGCTGACCTACCTACCTGCACGTGCGTGGTGGTCCCTTTGTAAGACCTGCCTGCAGGGTGCATGCCACTCTGCCCGGGCTCACCCGTGTGTCCTGGATCAAGGACAGGCCATCAGCACGTATTTGCTGCATGACAACTTAGCATTGTGTCCACCACATGGTACGGCCTAGTACTGTCGATGTGGCATAGGGCCGAATAACCAGGCTTAGTGTGACAGTGTAGCACCTGCTTGGGATGTTACACGTAGAATCACTTCCCCTGTTTCACAAATTTAGGCTAATTATTTTGTAATCACCATAAGTGAGGTTGTTCATGTGTTCTCAGGTGGCGGGCTTAGTTGTGTGTCTCCTGATTTTTTGGGTGTTTCTGTATTTGTCGTTGTGTCTGGAGGCTGACTCGTCTGAGTCCGTCACTCCGTGGCTGTGTCAGTGAGGGCGGCATCGGCAGTGAGCTGAGCGAACCAGGTCACTTAGGGAGCGACTGCTTCTGGAGGCGGGCGTGGAGTTCCGGACGCCTGGGAGAGTTTGGGCTTGGTGTTTTTTCCTTCATGTCTGTTTCCCCAGGTAGCTTGTTCGCCTTCTGCCCAGCAGTGTAAAGACAGGAAGCAGCAAATCATTTCCCTCTTCTCTTGTTTGAGTTTCTTTTGTAAATATTCTTACTTTGTTTGACGTGAAGATAGGGTTAAAGTCCAAATACCACTTTTTTTTTTTAAATTTCCTTCTGAAAACAATTTAACAATTGGGAGCACCAGCGGTGAAATTCAAGTTCTGACTCTATCACTTTAACCTTTGAGAACTCAACACAAATTGCATAACTTCTTTTTCTTTTAATTGACGAATGCACTTTTCACATATTTTTCATAGTAGGTACTTTTTAAATTATCTTTTCTAAAAGTGTGATTGATTGATTTGAAAGAGCTGAGAGAAATGTTCCAAGTGCTGGTTTGCTCCCCAAATGCCATAAGCTGGGCCAGGCCAGAACTGGAGCCTGGAACTGCACCCAGGTATGCCAGATGGTGGCAGGGCACTCGGGCCCCCTTCCTCTGCTTTCCCGTGTGTGCTGGCAGGGAGCTGGGCAAAAGCAGAAAGCCTGAACCTGCGCTCTCATACGGAATGCTGGGGGGCGCAGGCAGCAGCTTCACCCATCACCAGCCCTGTTACTTCTTTTCTTTTTAATTGATAGAATTATATATATTTAGTGGGTGCCATGTGATGTTTCAACACATGTGTGCGTGTGTGATATTCCAACCAGGGTAAACATCCCCATGTCTTTGATATTTCTCAGTGGTAAAAACATTGACTGTCTTTCCTTGTAGCTTTTTGAAATAGTCGGCATGTCATCATTTTCTTTCTATTTATTTATTTAGTTTAATTTGATGGTTGTCACCGTGTTCTGTGGCCACCAGTACCAGGCTGTTGTCTCCGTTAGAACTCTGAGTGTGTCTCTTTGTCTAAGATGCAGGTTGGTCATCCTTCTGCACCCTCTCCAGGGGCGTTGCTCTGGTGCCCACAGTGAGCAGGGCAGTCGGAATTTGAACCCACAGTGTCTGACTGTAGACCCTGTGCTGACAACTCGAGTGTGTGTCAAGGCTGTGACACGTTCAGCGAGTGTTTAGCTGCTAGAGTGACCTTCACGTTCGTACATCATCTTGTGCACCTTTTGTCACTTGGTTGCAGGGGCAGCCAAGTGTTGCTGTGACTGTCATCATTTAGGGACAGGAGACCGAGGCACAAATCTGGACACTTCCCCAAGGCTGTACAGCACGATGCTTTGGCTCTGCTCCCTGCCAGCTCTAGAGTATGTCACATTTTGAGAGAGTTGAGTGGACGTAAGTTGCGTTGTCCTGCCCAGGATCCAGACGAGGTTCTTCTGGGAACAACAGCCTAATCTTGCTCAGGGAGTTAGTCTTTCTCTGACCAAGCAGGTGATGGGCATATGACCCCTGTCTGGCAAAGTGTGTTCCTCAGATAGTCACATTTCTTCCCCTTGAACTTGAGTCTTAGGTTGGATGACATGACGACGGTCGCAGCCCCTTCACGATCGTGTCTCAGTTCCCAGTACCTGGACACTGGAGCAGCTCTTTGGTGGTTTTCATTTCCCAGCTCATAGCCTTGCAATTACATTCCTGTTTTCCAAGAGTTAAGGACCTTGAGGTCTGTTTTTGTGGCTTCCAGTGGAGACTGCCTTAACTTTGTCACTCAGAGTTACAGGGGCCAGTCAGTGCTGTGGTACAACAGGAAACACAGCATCCTCTGTGGGCGCCAGTCCTGACCATGGTCCCGCTCCCTGCTGATGCGTGGCCCAGTACTTGGTCCCTGCCACCCATGTGGGAGGCTCAGCTTTCCCGACTTTGGCTCCTTTATGGTCTGTTATGAGAAATAGGAACTCTGTTGGTAGTGTTTATTCCCAGGTGCTTCTAAGGCCCTACGTTTTTGCGTTGTTCTGAAACTGCATGTCCAGATTGCTGGTGGTTTATGTTTTCCTCAGAACCTCTCACCCACTATTTCTCTAACCACCTGAATGGTGAGTTGCAGTTTGCCAATACCTGTTTTGTTTCTATGCCCAAGGGGCATGGTGTCCCCTTCCTCGCTGGCAGCAGGAGTGACAAAGGGTTCGTGCAATTACGGGGCTTTTGCTTTCTTCCTTTATTTGAAAGGCAGAGGGAAGGGGGAGGATGGGAGAGCTTCTGTCTGCTGGTTGATTGCCTAAATGGCCACAGCAGTCAGAACCAGGTCAG